TTTGTTCTCATTTTTCCTTTAGTTTCTCATTTGCTTCCCCTTTCTTCTCCTTCTCCTTCTCTTTCTCCTTCTCCTTCTTCTTCTCATTCTCCTTTGCCTTTGCCTTTGCCTTCTCCTTCTTGTTCTTGATCTCATTCTCATTACCATTCTCCTTCACCCTCTCTCCCTCTCCTAAGTTCTTTTTTCCTGCTGCTGCTACTACTGCTGATGTTACTGCCACTGTTTATCAGCAATAGATTATCATAGTAACATTGAAGCTACTCATCATTTTGTAGATCAGTGATGACATCAGCCAGTCTGCAAATTCAAAACTGCATGTGCATGGTGATATACAACAGCATGACATCACAACAAAGGTATAGCATGGTTCTATTAATGGTGTACATGCCAAAAGATAAGAAGACAAGGCTACCATGTTGAATGACTTCATAAAACAAACCAATAACAAGTTGTTTGTTAAAGTGAACAAACATGGTGGCTATATAACACCACATGCACCTCAGAGATAGTGAAGTTAGATTATGTACATTTTAATGGCTTGAATATAAAAAAACCTTTGAAATTTCATTTATATACGTAAACAACCTCAGGGCTGATCAAAGTCAAGGCATGGCTAACTTACTGATCAAACCCTAAAACAAGCTCTGGACTGATCAAAGTCGGGGCACAACTAACTTTCTTATTGAACCCTGAAACAACATCTAAGCTGATCAAAGTAAAGGAACAGCTTCATTTGTAACTCACAGATCAAATTCAAATTTAGTGTGTTAGGTTTTTGTGGAGGGAGGAAAACYGGAGAAAACAGAGAATAACCCTCAAAGCAAGGGAGGAACCTAACAAACTCTGCTTACATATAATGCCAAGTTGAGAAATTGAACCTGAGACCCTAGAGGTGACATGCAAGTGCAATATGTCATCCTTCATTTCATAATAATATTATGTATGATAGAAGCTGAAGCAGAGAAATATTCTTGCACTAGGTTAGACCTTGTATCATCCCACCAAGGCCTCAAGATTATGTCTCAGATACTGCATTTGTGTTCTGATCATGATGAGCTTGAATGGGGGTGAGTATAGTTTACAGCATACTTGTAGTAACTTCCAATGGCAAAATAATCTACTAGAAATACTCTACATTGGTACAGTAATTTCTTCAGCTAAATTTCAACCATTGCTAGAGCAGTTTTTGTATGAGCGAGAAATGATATGGCAAGTTGATAGCTATAGTCTACCATAATAACTTATTTCTTTTATTTGAAGGTATTTCATTGTAGAAACTTTAGTGAGGAATGGTCACACGGGGGATCTGTACAAAGGAATGGAGTTTGATCCTAGTGCAAGGTAAAGATGTTTTTCTTTTTGGAAGCTGGACTTATAGACCAGTTTCAGCAATTCCCAGAGCTGTTTAACTCGGAGGACAAAACAATGACTTTCAGCTCTCATGAGAGTAAGATTATATTGTTTTATCCTGTGAATTGGGCTGCATTGGGAATATCTTGCAAGGTGGTCTATTATTCCATCAGAGTTGTGATGCATGCCATCATGTCCATACAGTAACTTTAAAAATGAAATTTTTGCTAGGATCATCTTGCTTGATCTCATTCAAGTCCATCTTGCAGGTAAAACTTATTTACTCCTATTTTCCTTTTTTTATTTTTTCGAGTTAGTCTTTCATTACGGTCTTCGAACAGTGCAAATGCAAAATCATACCAAAACTCTACCCTCCTGCTTATTCAATGTTATGGTCTATGACAGCACTTTCATTTCAAAGCAACATTGGTGTGGGGGG